TATTTGATGAGTAGACTGTTCACGTGTTAATATTTGATAAGTAGATTGTCCACATGTTAATATTTGATAAGTAGACTTTCTAACACATTTTTAGAAGTGTGGTGAGTAAAGGACTATACAACTAAACCAAACAAACTGCTCACATTCCACCACTATAATGACGTCTACTTTATTTATTTGCTTCGCTCTTCCAAGCAGCACTGATGAGCCGTGAATTCGGCATGAGTAGTGAATTAAAGAATAGAATAGGTTATTACGTCGTATTTCCTTCACTGAAATTCACGTTTCGGTGAGTTAAATAAATTAACAAATAAATTAGTTGAACACGTTGTAACTGTAATTTAATATTTTAACAGGTGTTATCATAATCGTTGTAACTTTCAGTTATTCATAACTCTAGATTTGTCAGTGTGGTCCAGCAGTTTGTTTTAAAATATATATTCTCAAAACTGTTTGTGTACAGAGTTGCTTGTGAGGCACGTTGTGCTTCTGATTTGTTATCACCACAGTGAACATATATTTTTTATGAGATTTGAAGAACATGTAACATTGATAATACTAATTTGTTCTTCAAAATTATTCAGCAGACAAGCTGTTTAACATACTAAAATTGAATTTTAGTTTTATTAAAATGACTGTTGATTACAGTACCCCTAATAAAATACAAGTTAAGCAAAAAAAAAAATTAAACAAAAACATAATTCCCATCAATTACTCATGTTTTGTTTTTTGTATTTTGCCTAGAGAATGTGTGACTACTTTCAGTTTTTTTCTGAGTGTTTGCAACAGGCTAAAATCAAAAGATAGCTATAATGACGTAACATGTTGATCCTACTGGTAGTGAACGGTACAGAAACAAGTTGATAATTTAAGGATTAAAAGGGTTAACAACTATACGAAAATCTTCTGAAATAGCTTTATACATGAGAACGTATTGAAAAAAGTGATTCTTCAGAAACCATTTATGCTAATAATATAGAAATATTATTTTTTTGCAGTAGTTTCATATTTGATATACCGTATTGAAAAATGACTGCAGTAAATTTTCTCTTTGTACATATACAACTATATTTAACAGACAATTCTCGAGAAATAGCAGCAGTACTTGAGTAACTTTGAAACTGTGATTATTTGTGCTTTTCATATTTTTCCCAATTAAGAATAAGGATATTATATACTTCATGAGTGTAAAGCAAGTTTATGATTGAAAATCAGTTGCAGCAATGTTAACATTACTTGATCAAGCACACAAACTAAAGAAACCACATTCTGATAATAGTTTTGTTATTGTCTAATGATGCATATATAATTAACGTGTATTAGGGACTTAATGCATGGATATAAGGCGTGTACAAGTAGTAACAATGTGCATGCAAATAGCTCCCTAGGAGTCATGCCAAGTAGGGAGACTGAATGCTAGCATGATTGATATATCGAATTGTGATGATGCAAGTGAGTTGGATGGGCTAAATATCCAGGACGTGGTGGTCAGTATGGTGAGAAAAACATTGGTTCTTTTAAAGAGGAAATCAAACCGTTCTTTGATCATGATGTGGCTGATAAGTCACACAAACTCTCAGCTGAATACCCATACAAGTAGAAGCATTCACAAGACTCTGAGTGACTCAAATGTTTACCAAACGGAAGCAGCATCAGCGAACATATTTGTTAAGATTGGACACCAAGGCGAATGTAGAGCATGATGGAGAAGTTTCTGCCATGTCATGACGAGGAAATTGGGATCAGTAACATGGCAACAGACTTGGTGAACATGTTAGGAAAACATCATGCAGGAAAATATATTGTGAATAGTGCAGGCAGAATGGAGAAGGTTCTGCCAGCGATATAGCGCATGTCATAATAAGGAATTTGGGATTAGTAATATGGCAACAAACTTGGAAGCTTGCGCTAGTAATAGCATTGCCTATTTATCAACACCACGGGTTTAACTTTGAGGTATGAACAAGGTTTACAAGTTGCCGGGAAACTGTATTTCAGAAGCAGTAAATAGGACTACTGGTAAACTTCCTATGATGGATGTCTAATGCACACACGCATATATATATATATATATATATAAATAGTTCTAATACTATTAGCTACATTAATTGTTAATAGGCGATTAAAATCTGCACTATAAAACAATAATGAACTTAATATAAGCATTAAGTAAGCATTGGTAGAATTGCCATTGTCGGTCCTGGTTGTCAACTTGATGTCATAACGGATAATGCCTGTGTTAATAGCACCCAAATGGGTTGTGGATATCTCATTTATCAGACACAATCCAAACACTGATGTTAAACTAGCCAGCTATAATGGAAGATCAATTAAGGGTAATGAGTTGATTGCTTACACTCACAACGTCTCAACTACAGCCTTTCACTGTCTGCAGCCAATTGTGGGAAGGCAGTTACCCTTAAAAATTCTTATAGTTCCTAAAGTAGAAATGAAATCAGCCTCAAATTTGTACTATGTGAAATGAACTGGAACTAAACGGTCGTAAAGAGAACTATAAGCCCTTTAGAGTATTAGAGCTACATGTATATATATTATCAGAAAAGTTTCTCTGTTGTGGAACCATAATAACTAACAAAGCTCTCCATAAACTGTGGTATTTAACACAATTTCTATTTTTATTTGCTCATATTAACGTAAATATGAATGTTTTGAACTCAAAACAACATGTAATACCTTGTTACATTCAAATATACTCTAATCTATATTTATTTCTTTATGTAGCGCTTTCTGGTAATGAACATTACTCTGAAAAGTGATAATGTTGACAGAGGTTCCATGTTTGGAGGTCCCTCCGTGACCAAAAGGCGTGCCAAAAATGCCCTTAATTACATTACTCTGAAAAGTGATAATGTTGACAGAGGTTCCATGTTTGGAGGTCCCTCCGTGACCAAAATGCCCTTAATTCATCTTCATATCTCATACCGGTCTACAATCGATTTAAATGTCATACTTAGTTAACATAACGCATTAAACCAGTTTTCAAAAGTCGGTCAAAACGTAAAAAAAAGTGTCTTATCTCCAGAATCGGCTGTTAAAAAAGTGATCTTGCAAGAGTTTTATGTTCGCTTAACGCATCCCACAAAAACAACAGTTCTTTACAATAGCCTTTTTATTTAAGACCTCTAAACATTCCCCACTGAGACAAATACTTTTTTTTATCTAATTAATAGTCGGCCCCCTGTGGTACAGCGGCAAGTCTGACGACTTATAACGCTTAAAACCGGTTCCAATACTCTTGGTGGGCACAGCATTGATGGCACATTGTGTAACTTTGCACTTAACTACAAACAAATAAACAAAATATTATCTGATAGTCTTCGCAGGTTTCTAATATTGACCACACATTTAACCTTGTTTGTGCGACTCATGAAGGACGTGTTGATTTCCTGGCAACTGGGCCAGGTGGTTAGGGCGCTCGACTCGCATTCTGCGGGTCGTGGGTTCGAATACCAGTCCCACCAAACACGTTCGCCCTTTCAGCCGTGGGGGCGTTATACTGTTACGGTCAATCCCACTATTCGTTGGTAAAAGAGTAGCCCAAGAGGTGGCGGTGGGTGGTGATGACTAGCTGCCTTCCCTCTAGTCTTACACTGCTAAATTAGGACGGCTAGCACAGGTAAGCCTCGTGTAGCTTTGCGCGAAATTCATAACAAACAAATAAACCTGGCAAATGATGGTACGAAGGGCTGGACGTTAACATCCAGATGCTAGTGCTAGTGTTATTTGGTTGTGTTTTACAACCTAATTATAGATTTTCTGATATATTCGACTTGTCTACTGTCTGAGAAACATAGATTTGAAGGGCAGATATTGAACATCCAATTGTTACTATTAGTGTTATTTGGTTGTATGTTACAGTATAATTCTGAATTTTCTGAGAATCACGGGTGAGATGGGCGGGAAATGAACACCAAACTTTGCTGTTGGTGTTACTAGGTTTTATTTTACTGCATAATAGGGGATTTTCTGAAGTAGGGCGTATTCATTGAGAACGAGGGCACGGAGGACCGGTAGTAAACACCTAAACGTTGCTGCTATTGTTCTTTGATAGTGTTTTTCTGTATAATTAGGGATTTTCTGTTGTGTGACTCGTTGATTATCTGACAGATGAAGGCGTGAAGGACAGGACTAAACACTCAAAGGTTGCTAATAGTGTTATTTTATTGACTTTAATTGCATAATTAGGGATTTTCTGTTGTACGGCGTATATATTGAGAAATTAAGGTTTGGAGAGCGAGACAACATACACAAACGTTGTTGCTGAAGTTGTTTGGTTGCGTTGTACTGCGTAATTAGGGATTTCTTGATGTACGGTATGTTCAACGTCTGAGAAACAATGGCAGGAAGAACATTATTGTTGGTATTATTTGTATTTTACAGCTTATTTAGGAGTTTTGTGATTAGTTCTGTATTTGTATGTGCTGAAAATACAACTTATTTTTATACTGCCAAAGTACGACTACAGAAATATTTGGGGGGGGGGCAATCTGAAAGATAATTTTTTAAATAAAGGAATTTGATAAGTCTCGGCATTTACTTCAAACCCTGCATAAGTGTAAAACGAGAGTTCGGTGCATTAATCAATGGTGCATGTATTTTTTGTAAAATCTAGCGTAATTTTTTTTTTATTGTTGTTTAAGAAAGTATTTATATCTGTTTTTTATGTTCATACAAACTACTTCTTGCAGCAGTAAGAGTGTAGATCATTCAACAAGCACTGATAATAATATTGGCTGACAGTAATGGAGACCGATGAGTCGTGCGTTAGTGTTAAAAGGAAAAACAGTAGGTAATAATTATGTTTTAAATTTTTGAAAGACATCTTTTTATGTCTTTTGAGAAGTTAGGTTATATCGCGAGTACATTTTTATTATTCAGAATTCAAGATGTTGTAACATGTAGTCTAATTTTATTGCATTTAATTTACTATCGAGGAAAGGCCTATTTATTAATGTTCCAGTTTTTTGTTTCTTTTTTAGATTGTCGAGATATTTAAAGTAGACAAGCGATATAAAAGAAGAGTATTCTGGTTCATGCATGCGAATGTAAATTGACATCTGGCGGCAAAATGACACAGACATCCAGTACCATAAGCATTACTACAGATGGTAACAGGTAGGCCAAACTGATATTAATGGTATCAGTTTTATCTTGCATTGTATCAATATATAACTCAGTTATAGTACTTACCTAGCTGAAGCTCTAAAGCATGATGAGTAAGGTGTCTACAGCTCGTTAATTAATAGGTCACATAGTAAATAGGAGGTTTTGTAGCTGTTACTGTAATGGTTTTTTTAATGAACACACCTCCCTTCATCAAATTGCACTTGATCTAGTGGAGTGTAAACCGTAATATGTATGCAGAGCCAGCTTTTGTAAATATTTCAATATTAAAATAAATACAAATAGTTAAGAAGTTATTTTTTCAAACATAACATGTACATAGAATGAAAAGGAAACGACGTACTCTACTCATCACAAATGTTAGAAATAATCGAAAACGTATCTTAAATATGATGTAAAACCCAAATAATAAAATAAAATGTAAACTTATAAGTTAATTTTTTATTATTATTTTTTACAAATCCACTATGGTATTTACATCGTGAAAGTATTATAGATGGACTTTCCAGAAAAAGAAAAACATAAAAAAATTATTTGAAAGTGATACAAAGTAAAAAAACAAAACGAAAAAACACCACCATGTTGTGTTACAAGGAGCATTTATACAGTCTTTAAAATGTTACCACAAATAGTGCTCCACATCTTGAGCTTTGGGTGCATTATGAGAGTGATGGTCCAATCCCACTGTTCAGTCAAGAGTAGCCCAAGAGTTGGCAGTTGGTGCAACTATCTCACAGTTTACTGTTGACGGAGTAGTCCGTTGTTTGGAGGGTTGGGGTAGTATCCTATAGTTTTGTAGGGTGAGAGACTATCCTGTAGTTTGGAGGGATGGTGTAGTATTTCTTAGTTTGGCCGTTTAAGATCATATGGGTTAAGTAACTAACAAGCTCACCTAGTTTGGTTGGTTGAGGTTGTTTCCTAGTGTTCTGTGAGCTGTATGTAACGTTAATGTACAGTTAACACGATTAAAGTCAATTTAAGGATGGTAAAGGTTAGAGTGACTTGTTAGTTAAATAAAGACCAGAGCATAACTTGTTAACATGATGGCAAAGTTTATAACGGCTTGTTAGTTTGAATAAATACCAAAGTTTAAAAGTGGCTTGTTGGTGATCTCTTAGATCTTATTTTGTAAATTATGAGAGATACGTGTGTCAATTTTCACTGTTATTAGATGCAGATTGACTACCCCGTCTAGTGATTTTATTCTTGTTTTACCTCTCAATCAAACAGTATCTCAATTTCATTTTCTGCAATTAAGAATCCATGCTTCAAGTTTGGCAAACGTGTATAGCTTTTATGGGAAAAGGTATCCAACAAAATTGAATTCTGCAACAGAACTGCTTCCAGGTGGCCCATTAAACTTGAAGACTTAAAACGCTAAGTTCTTGGCTCAATCTTTGTGGTGAACAAAGTGCTTACAGCGCCATGTGCAACTTTGCACTTAAACAAGCAACATAACTGATTGTACGACGTCAGTTTGGGGATTAGATGTTATAAGCAAAGTTAGTTTCTAGCCATGTGGAGTTACTATAGTATAAGCAGAGTAAAGGACAATTGGACTGTTTCTGTGGGGTACAGGTTTTCTAATCTTCAACTTAGTTTCTCATCGTTAGTCTCAAAACAGAAGTTACATTCATGAATTTAATCTTTAGTGTGTGCCAGTCCAAAGTAGCCCCTTTCATTTATCGCAGATTACACCACCACTTACTCACACTGACAGTTATAATTAATTATTTTACTCAAAGAAAATTACCTATAGCTTTCAGAAACTTTTCCAAATATTCAGTTGTAAAAACAACCAGAACTATTATGAGATAGTTAGTTAGAAACCACTAGAATAGGGAACAACGACACCGTGGAAGCAAGTGGTTTGACTCCATCATATTAACAATTAGCCTTATTTCGTAACTATTATCAAATACTCAGTTATAAATCGTCTAGAGTATTGGACAACGATGATGTATTAGTAATTGGCTTGACTCATTCGCAATAACAAATGGTCCTCAGTGTTATGAAATACTCAGTAACGAACAACAAGTGTACCAGTCAGTGTTTAGACTCAGTCATAATAACAGCAAGATAATTACAAGTTGATATTTTAAAAAGGGGAATAGTGATCATCAAAAGGTACAGAAATAAGTTGAATCAAAGTGCAAAGATTATATTTTCAAGCCTACAACAGTACTTATCAATTTTAGTGAAGTCAAAATAGGGATTTGTAGCTTGAGAAAATAATGTAAACACTGTTTTCAGCGTAGTTCTTTTGTTTTTTTAGAGACCCTAGTTGTAGGCTTGAAAATATAAGCTTTGCATTTTGAGTCAACTTGTTTCTGTACTTTTTTGACTAGCCCTATTCCTCTTTTTAAATTAACAATTTTAAATTATCTTGTTTATTAATTTTTTATGCCATTTATGGAGAATAGATTTTATTACATACGTGCATATGCATTCAGTTAAATGTTTTACTGAATCATTAACTTTTTTCTATCTAACCATTTTTTAATGAACCAGGTGGTTTTGTGCCTGAGGTCTCGTGTAAACACGTCGCAGACAAAGGAAGCAGCTCACAACAACATCGCATTATGTATTCATAGCCAAGTAAATCAACTTTCAATATAAAACAGTCAACTTTTTAAATAGGTCATGGATATTTGCAGCGTTTCATGCGATATATATATCTGTCTAGGTTTTGGTGCAAGATACCCAGCCGATTTTGCTGTAGGCTTGTAAAACAAAAATATGAATAATAATAATAATAATAATGAAATACGCACTCACAATTTCATTATGAAAATTCAAGTACGAAAACAAGTAGAATAAATCACCACATACTGCACTATGGTAATAGTCTTTGTTAGAAAACTCTCTGAAATATTAGCGGCCCGGCATGGCCAAGTGGTTAGGGAGCTCTACTCGCAATCTGTGGGTCGCGGGTTCGAATCCCCGTCCCACCAAACATACTCGCCCTTCCATCCGTGGGGGCGTTATAATGTGACGGTCAATCCCACTATTCATTGGTAAAAGAGTAGCCCAAGAGTGGGCGGTGGGTGGTGATGACTAGCTGCCTTCCCTCTAGTCTTACACTGTTAAATTAGGGACAGCTAGCTCAGATAGCCCTCGTGTAGCTTTGCGTGAAATTCAAACAAACAAATAAACCCTTGTATGGTATATATGCATGCCAAAAATATGTAATGTTTTTTGTAAGATTAGTCCAAAATTGATTTGGAGAGTGTAATAGTGATTTTTATTTTTCTTAGCCAGAAGAAATACATTATGTCAGAGATGAATTTTTAAATTACCTTCACCAGTGTACTGTGATCCTCTGCCAATTACATATCTCCTTGATGAATGAACTATATTAAAACGTTTACATATTTAGCATATTGGAGAAACTATATCTTGCAGAGTCCAGGTTAGTTTCATTAAAGAAAGGCGGTCCAACCTAATATTAGATAATTATGAATTAATAATTAATGATAATAAAGTGTTCAATTAAACTGTACACCGAAAACTAACTACCGATTCTGCATATTTATTAATAATGTAAATTTTTTCTAACTTTCACACTGATACTTGTACTCTACTTTTGCATGTTTTTATTTTATTATAGAACTCTACCACTTTTAAAACATAAATACAGCATGCAGGTGGAGATGATATAGGTTGTAGAAACTGTAAACATCTATGTAGGAAGATATACATTGTAGATAGGTAATAAAAACAATGATGCTGTTGTTTCTTTTCACACAACACAAGTACATGTTATTAGATTCAAAAATTGTATAAATTTATAAATCCAGTATCAAATTATTCGCACTGTATCTACTATTAAATTTGCATTAAATGCTACATTTTGCTATTTGAGAAACTACACGTACAAGCCAGTTTAAATCATGAATGTTACTATTAGTTTCATGACACACACAAAATTGAATATGAAATAGGTTTAAATCCAGTATATTGTTGCGTCATCGAGTCACATGACTACTGTGACGCAACGTTTCTAGAACTATCATGTACTTTGGCGAATGCTCTAGTGTTTGCTAGATGGGGTAGGCGGGTATATATAAGAGGGGAAAACGTGACGCGGGAGATGGTTGTAATGTGTGTATAGATAGTGAGTAACTGAACTGCAGTCGGAAGTATTATTGAGCACGTTCGTTGATTAGCGTTTG